CACTGTGTCACTAGTCACCCCCTTCACTGTGTCACTAGTAGCCCCCTCCCTCACTGTGTCACTAGTAGCCCCCTCCCTCACTCTGTCACTAGTAGCCCCCTCCCTCACTCTGTCACTAGTCACCCCCCCACTGTGTCACTAGTAACCCCCTCCCTCACTCTGTCACTAGTCACCCCCTCCCTCACTCACTCTGTCACCCCTTCCCTCCCTCACTCTGTCACTAGTCACCCCCTCCCTCACTTTGTCACTAGTCACCCTCTCCCCCCTCTGTCACTAGAGTGAGTGACTAGTGACAGAGGGAGGGATGGAGTGACACAGTGACAGAGGGAGGGATGGGGTGACACAATGACAGAGGGAGGGGGTGACTAGTGACAGAGTGAAGGGATGACTAGTGACAGAGTTAGGGAGGGAGTGACTAGTGACAGAGGGTGGGATGGGGTGACTAGTGACAGTCACCACCTCCCTCTCTGTCACCAGTCATCCCCTCACTCTGTCACTAGTCACCCCTTCCTTCCCTCACTCTGCCACTAGTCACCCCTTCCCTCACTCTGTCACTTGTCACCCCCTCACTCTGTCACTAGTCACCCCCTCACTCTAGTGACAGAGTGAGGGAGGGGGTGACTAGTGACAGAGTGAGGGATGAGGTGACTAGTGACAGTGACCACTTCCTTCACTCTGTCAGTAGTCACCCCCTCCCTCACTCTGTCATTGTGTCACCCCCTTCCTCACTCTGTCACTAGTCACCCCCTCTCTCACTCTGTCACTAGACATCCCCTTCCTTACTGTCACTAGTCCCACCCTCCCTCACTCTGTCACTAGAGTGAGGGGGTGACTAGTGACAAAGTGAGGGCATGACAGGTGACAGAGGGAGGGGATGACTGGTGACTGAGTGAGGGAGGGGGTGACTAGTGACAGAGTAAGGGATGGAGGGGATGACTAGTGACAGAAGGAGGGAGGGAGTAGTGACAGAGTGAGGGAGGTGGTGACTAGTGACAGAGTGAGGGAGGTGGTGACTAGTGACAGTCACCACCTCCCTCACTCTGTCACTAGTCACCCCTTCCTTCCCTCACTCTGCCACTAGTCACCCCCTCACTCTAGGGACAGAGTGAGGAAGGGGTGACTAGTTACAGAGTGAGGAAGGGGGTGACTAGTGACAGAGGGAGGGGTGACTAGGGACAGAGTGAGGGAGGTGGTGACTAGTGACTAGTGACAGTTACCACCTCCCTCACTCTGTCACTAGTCACCCCCTCCCTCACTCTGTCACTGTGTCACCCCCTCCCTCACTCTGTCACTGTGTCACCCCCTCCCTCTGTCACTGGTCACCCACTCCCTCCCTCACTCTGTCACCAGTCATCCCCTCACTCTGTCACTAGTAACCCCTTTCCTCACTCTGTCACCTGTCACCCCCTCACTCTGTCACTAGTCACCCCCTCACTCTGTCACTAGTCACCCCCTCACTCTAGTGACAGAGTGAGGGAGGGGGTGACTAGTGACAGAGTGAGAGAGGGGGTGATTAGTGACAGAGTGAGGGATGGGGTGACTAGTGACAGTCACCACTTCCTTCACTCTGTCACTGTGTCACCCCCTCCCTCACTATGTCACTGTGTCACCCCTTTCCTCACTCTGTCACTAGTCACCCACTCCCTTCCTCACTCTGTCACTAGTCACCCCCTCTCTCACTCTGTCACCAGTCATCCTTCCTTCCCTCACTCTGCCACTAGTCATCCCCTCACTCTGTCACCAGTCACCCCTTCCTTCCTTCACAGTGACAGAGTTAGGGAGGGAGTGACTAGTGACAGAGAGAGTGATGCGGTGACTAGTGACAGTCACGCCCTCCCTCCCTCTGTCACTAGTCATTCCCTCCCTCTGTCACCAGTTATCCCCTCACTCTGGCACTAGTCACCTCTTCCCTCCCTCACTTTGCCACTCGTCATCTCTTCTCTCCCTTCCCCACTCTGCCACCATTAACCCCTCCCTAACTCTGTCACTAGTCACCCACCCCCTCACTCTGTCACCAGTCACCCCCACTCACTGTGTCTCCCCCTCACTCTGCCACCACTCAACCCCTCCTTCCCTCTCTCTGCCACCAGGTACCCCCTCACTCTGCCACCTGTCACAACCTCCCACACTCTTCCACCTGTCACCTTCTCCCTCATACACTCTGTCACCTGTCACATATGCATTCACATAGACACTATATACAAAAAAGCATATGTAGTCATCCAGACATGCACAAGTGCATTCACACAGACTCAAATACAAACATGCATTGATACACAGGTCTTCACAATATACACATCCAAAGGAATGCCGTATTATGAGTTATATTTAACATTTATTTAATGCATGTATATTTGGCCTTCAAAGGGCCTGGGATCTAATTTTGCCCGGGGGCCCCAAAGGCTCTCAGTCCGCCCCTGTATGTATATATATATATATATAGAGAAAATCTTCATTGTGGACGGTGTCAGAAAAAATAAATCTTTAATGCTTAGCTATGCCATTGATTTTTAGTGTTGAGACAAGGTTTGGCTTTATGCTGTAACTAGTAGCTATTATGGGAAGCACTAGAGAATGTTTTGGTAAGGAGATTGGCACTTAGGTTGGTAGGTATTTTGTCCTAGTTGGGCACTGTTGTACCAACATACAGTTGTGCACATAAGTTTTGCATACTCTTGAGAATTGGTATTATAAGCTGTTTTTAAAGAACATGGTGAGCGGGCAAAACACATTTATTTTATTTCTTATGGGATTTATATGTTCAAGCTGCCAGGTTACTTAACAGAATGGCACAATCATCGCGGCAACAAATAAAAATAAATGACGTATACAAAGGTTTGCATACTTTTGACAATCACGTGTTTATTAGAATTTTAAGTAATGAATACAGAACAGAACATAGTACAAGAAGGAAATCCCCAGCACCCAATTATATGATGGTGAAGTCTTGCGGTTGCCTCGATGCCCGAGTGCTGCGTCCCCTGTCCCCTTCTGCTAGGACTCCCCCTCCTGTTCCCCATCTCGTCACCTTCCACCCCACCCCCCCCTCACCCTCTCAACCGGTTTCTGTACCACGATATGTAATACCAGGGCCAGTATACGAGTATTAGTTGGTTGCCCGTCACATCCCCTGCTCATTTCACTATGGCTAGGGTTCCTAAGGTTCTCCGCCTCAGGCATCCCTGTTCTATGCATCAAGGCCTGTGCCGCAAGTCCAACCTGATAATAGTTTAGTGTGGGCGTTGCATCTGGTGCCCCCACGACCACTGCCGGTGAGTTTTGTGGAGTAATCTCCTGTCACCTCTTGGCGGGCGCCCCCCCGAGGCTGTCCCCCTCTCCAGTCCCTCCAGTGTGCTCGTGAGTCCTAATATTGAATTAGATCCATTACATCTCGTTGTCCCCACTCCTCCCCCTTGGCTATGTTATTCCACACTTCCACCTTATCGTCCCCCCCTTGTCCCTAGTCCCTAGAGCTCTAGAACCACCTTACCCACCTTCCCGCAGCGTATGGCTTAGGTCTCCCCTGCCCTCCCTCCCCTCCTCCCCTCCCCTCCCCATCCGTGCCTCTACACTCCGTCCTATGTCAGGGGTGTTAACTAGTCGTCTGTCCCTGGTTAACGTTGCTCTTGTGCTAGGCTTGCGCCCAGTGTGTCCCCATCCCAATCCCCCCGCCCCCCCCACTCGCAGCAAGTCCCCCCCCCGGTCACCCCCCTGCCGGTACTATTGTCACTCGGAACCTGCGGAGGTCGTCGCCGGTCACCCCAGGGCATCTCCCCCCCCGTGGGTCGGCAAGGTCGGCGGCACCGCGGCACCTCCTTCTCCCTCCCCCCCCGGAGCGCCCCCCCGCCTTGCTCTCTTGGTCATGTAGTCCACCCACGGGAACCAGGTCATTGCACATTTGTCCGTGCGTCCCTGCAGGGAGGCAGTAATCATCTCAAGGTTATATATATCTTCCACCTTATCCACCCATTGCTGGAAGGTGGGGACTGTGCTACTTTTCCAGTGAATTGGGATTAGGATTTTCGCTGCCGTTAGCAGGTGTATGGTCAGACCCTTTTTATAACTCCGCAGCGGTGTTTGCGTGTGATTAAGCAACATTTGCAGCGGCTGCAGGGGGAGGTCTGCGTCCGCTATATCCCTAATTGCTTCGTGTATCTGCTTCCAATATGGTGCTATTAGCGAACACGACCACCAGATGTGAAGTCTTGTGCCCTGTTCCAAGCCGCACCTCCAGCACTCCCCGGGGATTGACTCGTGGACATGACGTAATACATCTGGGGTTCTGTGCCAGCCCGTTAAGATTTTGTAGTTACATTCCTGGTATTTGGAGCAGATGCTCCCTTTGTGCGTCAGCATAAAGATTTTGTCCCACTCGCTGTCCGTGAGACTCGTTCCCGTCTCTTGTAGGTTTGCATACTCTTAGTTCTGAATATTGTGTATTGCCCCCTTTAGCATCAATGACAGTGTGCAGTCTTTTGTAATAGTTGTCTATGAGGCCCCTAATTCTTGCAGGTGGTATAGCTGCCCATTTCTCTTGGCAAAATGCCTCCAGGTCATGCAAAGTCTTTGGTCATATTGCATGAATTGCACGTTTGAGATCTCCTCAGAATGGCTCAACAATATTAAGGTCAAGAGACTGTGATAGCCACTCCAGAACCTTCACTTTTTTCTGCTGTAATCACTGGAGGGTCAGCTTGACCTTGTGCTTAGGGTCATTGTCATGCTGGAAAGTCCTAGAGCGTCCCATGCGCAGCCTTCAAGCAGAAGAATGCAAATTGTCTGCCAGTATTTTCTGATAACATGCTGCATTCATCTTGCCATCAATTTTCACAAGATTCCCCATGCCTTTTGAACTCATCCCCCCCTCTCCCCCAAAACACATCAGTGAGATATGTAACAAGGTTGATGTTCCAGGAGGTATAAGCCAAATGACAAATGATTTAGGTAAACTATAAAAATGGTCAGAGCTGTGGCAGACATTTAGTCTGGATAAATGCAAGATAATGTATTTTGGATGTAAAAACCTATGGGCAGATTATAAAATATCCTCAACATCTGAGGAAAGGGATTTAGGGGTAATTATTTCAGATGACTCAAAGGTAAGCAGACAATGTAATAGAGCAGCAGGAAATGCTATCAGAATGCTTGCTTGCATAGGGAGAGGAATTAGCAGTAGAAAGAGGGAAGTGCTAATGCAATTGTACCGAGCACTGGTGAGACCTCACTTGGAGTAATGTTCGCAATAAAGGAGACTGTATCTTAAGAAGAATATTGATACTTTGGAGAAAGTTCAGAGCAGGGCTACAAAACTAGTGCATGGGATACAGGATAAAACTTACAAGGAAAGGTTAAAGGAGCTTAACATGTGTAGCTTGGAGGAAAGACGAGACAGGGAAGATATGATAAACATTTAAATACATAAAGGAAATCAACACAGTCAAGGAGGAGACTATATTTAAAAGTGGGGGTTTCTAAAAAATATTTTAGAAACCCCCACTCTCCCTATAATTTTTAACTATAACAACAAAAGTGGTTTTATTTAAAAAAACAATTAAAAAACATTGGCATCTACTAAGACAAGATGATCTGCTCAAAGAAATCTTACCAATACAGCCCAAAATTTTTTTGGAGGGGCAGCTAATTTTAGATCCATATTAACTAACAATTATACCAAAGAAATTAAAAACACTCATCATACTTTTTTAGATGGTGCAAATGGTTTTTACAAATGTAAACGCTGTACCGTATGTAAAAATACTGATTCAACAACTAAATCCAAAATTACTAGATTCAAATCTATACAAACTAATAAAAGTTATACCATAAGAGATTTAATCGGATGTAATACTACCAATGTTATCTACCTATTGGAGTGCCCTTGTGGCCTCCAATATGTGGGTATGACCACCAGGTGCCTAAAGATAAAACTAGCAGAACATTGTAGGAATATAAGAAATGGGTACCTAAATCATTCTGTATCTAAGCACTTTATTAACCATAATCAAGATCCCAAATTTCTCAAATGTTTAGGAATTCAGAAATGCCAAATACCTTGGAGAGGTGGTAATATAAAAAAACATTCTCGGTAGATCAGAAATGGAATGGGTATTTAACTTACAAACCCTAACACCCCAAGGTCTAAATGTAGATTTTGACTTATTTAATTTTTTATAATTTTTTTATAAATGTATTGTCATGTTTTTTTATCTTAAATAATTTTATCTACTGATTTGCTTTTTATTAATTGATATTATCTATATAGATCTATTATCCTAAGTTATTATGTTATT